GTGGGCGGGATCGGGTGTGTGTGTGGGATCCGAACCCTCGGACGGGAGCGCCGCCGCGCTTCCCAAGCGGCGCACTATCCAGTGCGCCACCGGGCCGGCCCAACAATTGAGATTTTGATAAAACCTTCTAATCATCTTATTTCCGTAAGCAAAAATAAAACTGCTAACATGTTTGTATATAAACGTGTAGATATTTCTTCTATGAATATTCAGATATGTATTTCCTTTTTGTAAAGTAAAATATGATACATAACATTGAGCACTATTTTGTAACTTGCCTTCTTTCTACTTATAATGTAAATATCTTTCATTGTCAATAAATACAATTCTACAAAAAGTATATTATTAATAGATGTGTACAATTCTGATATATGGATTTTTTTGACCACTCTTCTATTGCTACACATTTAAATTACCTTTCAGTATGATAAACAAACTGCAATGAACATCTTTGTGACTAAATATCACTTTAGGCATCCTTACTTCTCTTAACTGAATTCACTGAACTTAGCATATGATAGAAGTGGTGGTTAAAATCAGGAAAAAGTATAAATTATGAGTAAATAATGTTGGCAAAACTGACTAGTCATTTAGAAAAAAATTTTTATTCAGTCCACACCTCATTTTTTATATAAAAATAAATATAAGAAAGACTAACACACCAAAAAAGCGTTTTAGTAGAAAACATGATTAAATGTCTATCTCAGAATGGGGAGGGCATTTTCAACACAACACAAAATTTAGAAGCAACAGAGGAAAACAATAACCCATTTGGCTATGTAAAACATCTGTACAGAGAAAAATAATTCTTGAATAATTTTTGAAACTCCAAAAAAGGAAGAAAAAAAAAAATGAATATTTAAAAAATAGAAATAATTCAAGAGTGAAAGTTAAAGAAATACAAATGGTCAATAAACATTTGAAAACCTGATCTAATTAACTGATAAATATTAAAAGTCTGAAAAGACCCAACGCTGGTAGGGTTGAAAGAGCAACTTGGGGAAAGAGGAAATTGGGGGAAGGAGCACTGAAAGCATTATGAAGTTCAGTTTGTCAATGTCTATCAAAATTTAAATGCACATATCCTTTGACGGAAAAAGTAATTTCCCTTCTCAAAATCTATCCTATAGATATAATCACCCAAGTATAATGCATTATTTGTGAAATAAAAACAAAATGTCCCAAACATCAATCAGTACGGGACTGATTGAGTAAATCATGGTATATTCATAGCTTAGAATATAACAGCTTTTTAAAAAAACAAGGCAGGGCCAGCCCGGTGGCGCAATGGAGAGTGCGCCGCTTGGGAGTGCGGCGGCGCTCCCGCCAAGGGTTCGGATCCCATGTGGAGACTGGTTCCTGCTCACTGGCTGAGCGCGGTGCGGGCGCAACACCGAGGGTTGCGATACCGTTGCCGGTCCCCGGTACGGGCGCGACACCGAGGGTTGCGATCCCGTTACCGGTCAGTAAAAAAGACAAAAAGGAAAAAAAAAAAAAAAAGAACAAGGCAGATCTATATGTGCTGATACAGAAAACGTTTTAAGCTAACTATAAAAGAAAAATCCTAATTCTACAGAATAGTATTAGAAAAAAAGCATACGTAAGAACTGTTAATAATCTCTAGAGAATGAAACTATTTTTATCGTTTAGGAGTACACATTATTATAACCACTATGATTTTTCTAATTTTTTGAAAGAAAAAAGACAAACTTCCAGAAGGAGAATTGTCAAAGGGAACACATGCTTTTCACATAGTTATAAGTTTAAACGACAGTCATGCACCACGTAACAACATACAGTCAAAGATGGACCTCATACACAACAGTGTTTTAAGCAATAGACTACATATAGCCTAGGTGTGTAGTAGACTATACCATCTAGGTTTGTGTAACACACTCTATGATTGCATGACAAAATTACCTAATGACACATTTCTCAGAACGTATCCCCATCATTGAGTTCCATGTGATTATATTCCTTAACCTCTACTGTAAAACACTTTTTGAGTCAGGATGTTAAAGATTTCTTGTATAACTGCGTATAAAAAGATAACAAAAGAATGAAAAAAAAAAGAGAGAGAGATAACAAATATGTGCTACCTAATCAATGTCATACATATTACTTAAGCCAAATTAATAATTTTAATGGAAAATTAATTTGTCAGAAATAAAATACATAAACTCTGAGACAGCATTACACATCTAGAAATCTGTCCTATGGAGATATACGTACGCAAAGATGTGTGTGCAAAGATGTTCATTGTAACACTATTTTAATTCAATAACAAAATAACTGGAAATACCCAATTAATATGGGTACAGCTTAACAAATTACAGAAAATTTAAAACAAAAACAAAAACAATATAAATATATATATCTACTCTGCTTACCTGCCATGGATCCAGCCATTAATCTGTGCACATGACCAGAAATTCCCAGTTTCGTAGTAATTAACTAGAAACCAAAAACGCTGAATTATTAAATGAGTTATTTTTTAAATGCCCTCCATTTCACCGTTTAATAATGAAGACATTTCAAAAGAGTTACAGGACTAGTAAAAAGAAAATTAGTAATAAATGTGAATGAAATCAGCACAATTATATAAAGCTGGGCAATGTTATATCACATCAGAAGGAGGTATTTCCTCTGTAGCCTCTGCTCTAACTTTTTGCATTTCTACAGAAGTCATCTAGCTTATAATTGCCAAATATACAATACTATATATTAATGACCACAAACCCCTAAAGTGTGAATGGGATAGCAGGAGCAAGCTACTATAAACAATGAAGTCTTGATATACTGATGGCATCAACTCTATCTGACTGACTAGCTCAGAATGTTGTTCCCATCTCAATTGCTTACTTTTTATTCTATGACATCCTTTGAGACTTAACAAACTTAACTTGTCTGTGTTAAAATAATGTCTGAGGGGATAAACTTTCACTCAGCCAGAGAAAAGAAATTTAATGAGTAGGATATGAAAAGCTGTTAACTTATAGTATTACTTCAAAACAGACTTTCACAGTATAGCTTCACTATTTTATCTAATAAGAAAATCGAAAGACACAGTGTTCCTGTCTACAATTGAGGAACAAAAGGCCCATGAAAAAACTATTAATATTTTATGAATTTATAGGGCCGGCCTGTGGCTCACTCGGGAGAGTGTGGTGCTGATAACACCAAGGCCACGGGTTTGGATCCTACATAAGGATGGCCGGTTTGCTCATTGGCTGAGCGTGGTGCTGACAACACCAAGTCAAGGGTTAAGATCCCCTTACCGGTCATCTTTTAAAAAAAATTTTTTTATGAATTTATTATTATCTTCTTGAAAGATACTTTGGCTTTTCTTCATAAATGTGAACATAATTTATTCATGATTGACTAACAATTCTGGAATAGGTAACTTCAAAACTAAGTTATATTTAAAAACTTAAATGACCACAAGTCTTACTCCTTAAAAAAGGTATTACTTCATGCATTTATCCAGCGTAACTGTAAAGTCCACGACAATTGTCTGGTCAAGTAAGCATAATATTAAAGGACACAGAAGAGAAAAGATGAAAGTTCAAATACCATTTTATAATGCTCAAATGCCATAAACTGAATCGCGCCATAGGGAAAGATTCGAATCATCATTGCACCATTTCCTTTATACAATCCAAGGTATCCTTCTTTTTGGGGAACAGCACGCAATGCAGAAAATACTCCTATTTTTAGAAAAATTTTTAGAAGAAAAATACTATTAAGACAGAGAAAACTAGAGACTGGCCTGTTAGCTCAGTTGGTTAGAGCATGGTGCTCATGACACTGAGGTCCAGGGTTCAATCCCTGCTACCAACAAAAACTACAGAAAACTATCTAAATTCAACTCTTCATGACAATCACAGATAAAGATTACTTTGTCATCATTCATGATATAACTTTGCTTGAGGAATTACACAAATAGTAATTTCTATATAACAACTAAACCTACTTAAAATACATCATATATCCAAATCATATAAATAAATATATCTCATATAAAAATACAAAATCTATTGCAGCAAAAACAGCTACAAATTATAGTAAATTATACTTATAATTTATTAAACCATAACAATCTAAAAAATATTAACAGAAATGTATTTAAGATCCAGATATTGATCAATTCTATTTGGAAGGATAAAGAAAGGTTTCCTAAGGTGACCTAGATACATGTGTGTTGTTTGTTTACATAAGAAAACTGCTAAATAAAACAAGCAAAAAAAAAAAAAAAAAGACTACCTATTAAAACTATTTAAATGTGGGGCAAATATTCACTATTAGGATACTTTAATTAGAAATACTCATAAACCAAGGCCTGAGTTCTGATCCATATATATTAGTATGCTTATTACTCTATTAACCTCAATCGATAATCCCTCCCATAAACATATCACTACTTCCATTATTCAACTATTTCAATTCAGGTTCCCTTCCAATTTTTCAAACAAAAATTTGATCAAATATGAAAGTAAATCACTAGGCTCACTGAGAATTTTTGAGTGCAAGTAACCTTTTGAGCTCTTCCTAGGAATTAAAATCGTAGGTATTTAAGAAAAGATATACCCCCAAAGCATTTTTTAATAAGCAGACATCTAAATAGACTAATATTCTATTTTTAAAAAAATTCTTTTACAGACTTCCTCTTGCTGGAGGAGGGGGCAAAGATTAAGCCCAGTTTAATTTAACAGCCTGCCCTAAAACTTTTTGATTGTCATAAATATTTTGTTTAAAAAATTTTAAGAAAAATCAGCAGTAGAAGTGAAATAGAGGGACTGGCTGGTTAGCTCAATTGGTTAGAGAGCAGTGTTGAGAACACTGACATCAAAAATTCGGATCCTGAGGGCCGAGCCCATGGCGCACTCAGGAGAGTGCGGCGCTGGGAGCGCTCCGGCCGCGGGTTCGGATCCTATATAGGGATGGCCGGTGCGCTCACTGGCTGAGCACGGTGCGGATGACAGCAAGCCAAGGGTTGCAATCCCCTTATTGGTCTCAAAAAAGACAAAAAAAAAAAAAAAAAAAAAAAAAACGGATCCCGACACCAGCCAGCTACAAAAAAAAAAAAAAAATATTAAAAAAAAAAAAGAAGTGAAATATATATAGCAGTTTCAGAAAAGAAAACCTAGGAAACAAAGAGCAGAGGAGGAAGGATGGAGAGGACAAGATATAAGAAAGCACAATAAACAGAAAATAAGATGGTAGTGAATAAAGGAATGATCATTAAAAAAAAATTTGGCCTACCGGGTTAGCTCAGTTGGTTAGCATGCAGCCTAGAAACACTAAGGTCATGGGTTCGGATCGCCATACCCGCCAGCCACCAAGGAAAAAAAAAAAAAAAACCAAAAAAAAAGAAGATCTGAATCACTTAATTTCCTCCATTAAAAGCCAAAGATCTTCAAATTATGTTAAAAGACTATATCTAACCATATGTTTTTTTTACAAAAATCTCACCTAAAATAAATAACAGGCAAAACCAAACTGACAAATAATCGATGTTTAACCTTTCCAAATGGCTTTTAAGTATCTGTTGAGATAATTATATCATTTTTCTCCTTCAACCTATGGTCTGTACTATTTTTACTTTGGGAAATAAATTAAGATTCATTTTTTTATGGCATACATAACATTGGACTAATTTTTGCTAGTGTTACAAGTTTGTTTGAAAAAAATAGGGCTGGCTGTTTAGCTCAGTTGGTCAGAGCGTTGTGCTGATAACACCAAGATCCAGGCTTCCATCCCTGTACTGGCAAGCTGCCAAAAAAGAAAAAAAAGTTTAAAGAGAATGTATATTCCTTTAAATATACTGCTTTTCTGTTATATCAAGTTGATGTGTTATTTAAATCCTTCTCCATATCTTTACTTATTTTATCAAGCTAGGATCAGAAGGAACTAACATTCGGTAAAATATAAGTATGTGCTTGTGTATGTATACATTAGCTCTGGAAGGAAATGGATGCAACTTGTAAACATGTTTAATTCCTAGGAGGAAACAAGAAAGAAAGACTTTCTTTTAATGCTTTTTGAACTATGAACCTTGTGAAAATATTATACATTCAAAAAATAAAAATAAATAAAACATAAAAGCAATAAAATTAAACTTTTTAAAAAATCCTATTATGATTCATCTACCTACTTATACATATATTTGATTGTAAAAGGCTAGAGATCAAATATTTTCAATATATTACAGAAAAAGTTCTTTACATTAACATTCTAAATTGAAGGAAGGAGAAATTTTAGGTATACCCATTTCTTTTCATTTGACTCTAATGACTTCTATTTAAAATAAAAAGTAGTTTTTGATACCTTGGAAGTACTGTCACATATTTTTTAAAAGAAACTAAAGTAGAAGTAATAGTTTTATTCAACAGCATATCATTATCTCTTTAATCTGACTGTGAAAAATCTTTTAAAAAGCAAAATTTTAAAACTATTTTATACATATAAAAAGGGTAAGGTACCTGGAATAAAATGCCCCAAATCATTTTAAAAATAAAATTAAAAGCCACCAATAGAGTTTTTCTTTTTTTGGCTTCTATATTTTAAAAGATACATGGCACTCCAAATATTGCACAAAGGTCCGGCTAATTAGCTCAGTTGGAGCAAGGTCCAGGGTTCAATCCTGAACCAGCCAGCCACCAAAAAAAAAAAAAATACTACACCAATAGTTCATTGTTGCACTCCAAGAATTCCACTTCAAATTTTGCATGCCTTCTATACAGTAACCCATGGCATGCAGCCCTGGAGAGTGTAAAATCTAATATGAATATGTAATTTAATGATTACAAATCAGGAAACAAAGCAACATAGGTCAGCATGGGAAGAAGGTTAAAGCAACAAAACAATCCTGCCTAGACATTCATATACCAGGTCATTGTAAAACACCCCAAGATATTGGGTAATATAATTCATCTTCTTTTTGCCCTCAATGTAGACAAAAAAAGAAAATAATTTTCTTCATTTCCAGTTTTTTTTTTTATTATCTCTTAGTAAGTTCAGAGGTCTGATTCCCCTTACATGTGAACAGTACACTGTGTAAAGATATAAAATTCATTGCTGGATATAGGGAGAGTTGCAGGTTTGTTTGTTTGTTTTCTTTCAATTTTAAGTATACAGGCTGGCCATTTAGCTCAGTTGGTAGAACATGGTGCTGACAACACCACAGTCAAGGGATCAGATCCCTGTACCGGCCAGCTGCTAAAAAAAAAAAAAAATTAAGTACAGGCTACCTTCATATTAAAAATATTGACAAGAAAATGAGCTACAATTAATATATAGCATAAATATCCATTCAGGTGTTTGAGAAAAATCAAATTTTAAAAACCCAATTGTAAAAATAATTGATTCTTATTCACCACGTTAAACATTTTTCTATACACCAATGCAGGATAGATCATGCACAGCACACATCATTCCTTTCTACTTATGGAAGCATGAAACTGTAAAGCAATGTGGTGGTATGAGTTAGTTGCCCTGACCTAATTTCTTTCTTCATCTCTGTCCATATTAATTTTTTTAACTCCCCCCCCCATTGAGAAAGTAACATATGTTCAACATGTATTACACATGAGCTTAGAGGAAAAAAATTTTGTATAAATGCCACCACTCAAAATTAACCATTTAATGTTAATGTTTGTCCTTCTAGCCTTTTGTCTAAGCAAATGTTTATTTATATAAAATGTAATATGAATAAATCATTTTATAATATTTTTTTCATTTAGTTAAGGCATTATGAACACTGTCCCTCATTAATACTTCTTCAGAATAATCTCCTAGAACTGGAATTGCAAGGTCAAAGAGTATGTAATTTCAAGACTTGTTGTGTATATTGCCAAAATGCCCTCCAAAAAGACTGTAAAAAAAATTCTTACTCCCACCAATGATAAATTATTAGTGTCCAGGTTAATCAAATAGCTGACTTTTCTGTTTGTGAGAAACAACTAAGGTCTTGATAATTTTTCAACAAAGCAAGTTTATGGGCCGGCCCGGTGGCGCACTGCACTAGTGCGCCGCTTGGGAAGCGTGGAGGTGCTCCCGCCGAGGGTTCGGATCCCACATACAGACCGGTTCCCGCTCACTGGCTGAGTGAGGCGCGGGGGCAACGCCGAGGGTTGCGATCCCGTTGCCGGTCCCGGTCCGGTACGGGGGCGACACTGAGGGTTGCAATCCGTTGCCAGACACGGAAAAAGACAAAAAAAAAAAAAAGCAAGTTTATTCATATAAACTAACTGCATTGGATTCTGCTTGCACTAAGATTTTGATAAGGTTTGTTTAACTAAGTGTTTAAAGGAGTAATGATTTCAATTTTACATTCATCAAACCTTATCTCCATCTTGGCCCTAACTAAGTGTTTAAAGGAGTAATGATTTCAATTTTACATTCATCAAACCTTATCTCCATCTCTAATTGCATTAAAAAATCAGGCAGAGCTGTTTCATGTGTCTGTGAAGAATGTGACTTGTTAATCTCAATAAACAAATAGTACTTACTTCAATGATTCCAAGATCTTGGCTAGGAATATATCAGTGCCCTAAGATGATAACATATATAAATACTATTTATGACAAATTAAAAGATTAAAATGCAAAAGGGATATATCCCTTGCAAAATTTGCCCCCAAACTTGAACTTCCTTTTGTGTCCTCTTTCCACTATAATTCATGACTGGTAACAAAGTCAGCTGATGAATAATATTTTCACTCATTTTTATTTTTATCATCTATTAACTTACCTAAATGTTTGTAATGATGATTATGAGCTTGTAATAAAACCTTTACTCGATCCAAAGGAGCAACTGTTGTTTTGGCACAGCATCCAGCAATACCTAAAATTTTTTTAAAAGGTCAGGAAGAAATTGCATACCATTTCTTTTCAGATGTAAATCATGACTTGTTCAGCCAGCAAATCCTCTGATCTCTAATTTCGTCTCCATGGGTAGATCTAGGGATATGCGGATGATTGGTCCCCATTCCTTATAACTTAATAATTGAGCATGTCAGACTTAAAAATAAGTTTTAGAAGTGTAAATCAGCCTATAACACCTAATCAACACTGGGACTCTTGCTAAAAGGTGGTTATGTAGACAGATACTTGAAGTTATACTTGGGTATTTACCCAACTGTAAGGTTCTGTTTGAAATAACCCCCTCTTCTTCTGGATGACTATTTTACTGAACAACCAACTTTACCCATAAAATTAGTCATTCATTTATACATTCAGCAAATACGTATTTGGTACCTAACATGTGCCACTGGACAGATGTAGATGAAAGCAGAGTACAAAGTACACACATGGGCTTTTGCATAGGTCAGAATCCAGGCCAGTCCTACTAGACTGGCATGCTTCTAAAGCGATTATACAAAGGCTTTGCTACAATAAAAATAGTAAGCACTCAATAAAATGAGTTGTTACTATTATAAAAAGGTGAATAAAAAGTCTTTAGTGTCTTTTGTGATTCCATTAAGATCTTCATTATTGACTATGCCTTAGAGAAGGTACTAGAGGACCAGGATTTTGTGGGTTTCCTTCACTGCTGCATCCCCAAAGACCAATACAGGGCTGGCACATAGTAGGCACTCAATAAATGTTTGCTGAATGAATGTAGATAGTCTTAATTTACAAACTTTTAAAAACATAGGACACTCCATAAATATGTACAATCGATATGTTTCAATTAAAAAATATGGGCCAGCCCGGTGGCGCACTAGAGAGTGCGCCGCTTGGGAAGCGCGGCGGCGCTCCCGCCGAGGGTTCGGATCCCACATACAGACCGGCCGCTCACTGGCTGAGCGAGGTGCGGGCGCAACACCAAGGGTTGCGATCCCGTAGCCGGTCCCAGTCCGGTACGGGCGCGACACTGAGGGTTGCGATCCGTTGCCGGTCACGAAAAAAGACAAAAAAAGGAAAAAAAAAAAAAATTTTTTTAAAGAAATAAATTTCTGTTGTCTATTAAAAAAAAAGACAAAAAAAGGAAAAAAAAAAAAAA